CCTCAGCCTCAGCCTCAGTCTGCTTCAGCCTCAGCCTCAGTCTGCCTTCAGCCTCGGCCTCAGCCTCAGCCTGCCTCAGCCTCAGCCTGCCTCGGCCGCAGCATCAGCCTGCCTCAGCATTCAAAATGTGGCCCAGGAATGGAGTTCTGGGAACTAGAAGAACACGAAGTGGCCTACAGTTGGCTCCGGGCATTCAAAATCATGCCCAGGAATGGAGTTCTGGGAACTTGAAGAGCACGAAGTGGCCTACAGTTGGCTCCGGGCATCCAAAATGTGGCCCGGGAATGGAGTTCTGGGAATCAAAGAGCACGAAGTGGCCTACAGTTGGCTCCGGGCATCCAAAATGTGGCCCGGGAATGGAGTTCTGGGAAGTCGAAGAGCACGAAGTGGCCTACAGTTGGCTCCGGGCATTCAAAATGTGGCCCGGGAATGGAGTCCTGGGAGCACCAAGAGCGATTTGCGAGGATGTCCCAAGCGATTTCGGCTTCGGCGGCAGCCGCGGCTGCAGCCTGTCCGGGTCCCGCCCGGACCCCCCTGAGGAGTCATGATGCTCTCTTTTGACCCCACTAGAAACCTATCAGCAAGAGCTGTTAGGTAATTATCCCGGCAAAGCAACCTAACAGCGATGTGTAGAAGCATATCTGAAAGCATTCCCCTTAAGATTCAGATGAAAATCCAGTTGTAGAATTCTGCTGTTCTCGCAGTCGTAGTCGCATTCGCGATGACAGTCGCAGCGGCAACGGCAGTCGCAGTCACAGCCTCAGCCTCAGCCTGCCTCAGCCTCAGCCTCAGCCTGCCTCAGCCTCAGCCTGCCTCAGCCTCAGCCTCAGCCTGCTTCAGCCTCAGCCTCAGTCTGCCTTCAGCCTCGGCCTCAGCCTCAGCCTGCCTCAGCCTCAGCCTGCATCAGCCTCAGCCTCAGCCTCAGCCTGCCTCAGCATCAGCCTGCTTCAGCCTCAGCCTCAGCCTGCCTCAGCCTCAGCCTCAGTCTGCTTCAGCCTCAGCCTCAGTCTGCCTTCAGCCTCGGCCTCAGCCTCAGCCTGCCTCAGCCTCAGCCTGCCTCGGCCGCAGCATCAGCCTGCCTCAGCATTCAAAATGTGGCCCAGGAATGGAGTTCTGGGAACTAGAAGAACACGAAGTGGCCTACAGTTGGCTCCGGGCATTCAAAATCATGCCGAAGACCACAAAGTGGCCTACAATTGGCTCCGGGCATCCAAAATGTACGCCGGGAATGGAGTTCTGGGAACTCGAAGACCACGAAGTGGCCTACAGTTGGCTCCGGGCATCCAAAATGTACGCCGGGGATGGAGTTCTAGCAGCGCCAAGAGCGATTTTGCGAGGATGTCCCAAGCGATTTGGGCTTCGGCGGCAGCCGCCCCGGGTCCCGCCCTGACCCCCCTGTGGAGTCATCTGCTGCTCTCTTTTGAGTCCACTAGAAACCTATCAGCAAAAGCTGTTAGGTAAAAAAATCGGGCTGCCACCGCTTGCTGCTCGGGGGGCGGACGGGTGGGGGGTGGAGGTGGGTGGGGGGGAGGAGAGAGGGGAGGGGGAGGAGAGAGGGGAGGAGCTACCTCTCTCGCCTGTTTCTCCCTCGCTTCTCCTTCCTCTCTTTCTCTCTCTCTCTCTCTCTCCCGCATACCTCTCTCTCTCTCTCTCCACCGCCTCCTCCCTATCTCTTACTCCCTCCTTCTCCCTTGCTCACTCTCGCGCCCCTCGGGGGTAAATCGTCGCGCGCGTCGGCCTCCAGACCGCCACTTGAGAATCCCCCGTTCTCAAAGGCCGATCCTTGAAGTTACAGTGTGTTCAACATGTCGAGGCAGTGGTCCAAGCACGCTTGAACCATATGTGCTTGACATGTTCAGAACAAGTCAAAGTTATGTCTTAGACACCCGGAAATGATTTGGCACCATGCTTCCTCTCCACTGATCGTCCTCCACAAGTCTGTACGTTCGGACGCGCGCCAGCCCGGGTACCTCTCTCTCTCTCTCTCCACCGCCTCCTCCCTATCTCTTACTCCCTCCTTCTCCCTTGCTCACTCTCGCGCCCCTCGGGGGTAAATCGTCGCGCGCGTCGGCCTCCAGACCGCCACTTGAGAATCCCCCGTTCTCAAAGGCCGATCCTTGAAGTTACAGTGTGTTCAACATGTCGAGGCAGTGGTCCAAGCACGCTTGAACCATATGTGCTTGACATGTTCAGAACAAGTCAAAGTTATGTCTTAGACACCCGGAAATGATTTGGCACCATGCTTCCTCTCCACTGATCGTCCTCCACAAGTCTGTACGTTCGGACGCGCGCCAGCCCGGGTCAGCACGAGCCCGCGTCGGTCGGGCTCCCGCCGCGAAGCCCGGCCAGCCGCTCGGCAGCTCCCGAGCCCGGGCCCGCGGAGGGCGGGAGGGGGGAACCGGCCGCACGTGGCTCCCAGACTCGGCGGCGCGCACGAGGGGGCTGGAGGGAGGGGGGAGGGCTTCTCAGAAGGAGGCTGCTTCTTAGAAGGCGCCGGCCTCACAGCTACAGATAAGGCCCGCGCCTTCCAAGAAGCAGGGCTGCTTCTAAGAAGCCCTCCCCCCTCCCCCCACCCCCCGCCCCTGCGCGTGGCCGAGGATCGGCTGACCGCCGTTACGCAAGCCCCGAGTTTCTGTCAGTACTACCAATTATCACCAGGGACCCACCGCCTCTCCTCACGGTCAGCTGCATGCAACACCGCCCCTGCCGCGAGTCGTTGGCCGCCCAGGTGTCTCTCTGAGATTCCCAAGGCTCTCCAATACTTCCAAAGCGGCCCAGGCTGGCCGCCAAAGCCACCTAAGAATTCTCCACATTTGCTCAAGAGGTATCCAACAAACCCTGAGGTGAACTCAAGGGGCGCCAAAGGGGCCTCAAGAGGCGTCCAAGGCATTGATGGGATGGCCACGAGGCTCCGCAAGAAACCAATTCAACAACTCACACACTTTAGGACTTGCATTTCCCAGACCTCTCAGGTCAAGATTTTCTCCAAAGAACCTCAAAAAGGAACCACAGAGAATACAAAGAGGCCTGGAAGACGGCCCCAAGAGACTCCCCAGAGGGCCGAGAGGGGCCCAAACCAGCCCAAGACGGCAACCAGACGGCCCAAAGGTGTCCCAAGCCGGCACAAGAAGGTGCCGAGAAGGCTCCAAGACCACCCCACCAGAGCACAAGACTGCCGCAACACGGGCTGCTAACTATGCTCCATGAGAGCCCACACATATCACGCCTTTCTGGGCGATGCTCGATGCTTCCCCACACGGTGCTGCGCTTGCACGGTGGTGGAACTTGCTGCAGGCAGCTGGATAGTCGAGGTGGACTCACCATCAAGACGACACTGCGCAAGCTGATACGGTGCGGGAGAGGCCGCAAGAAACCCTCGCAAGAAACCCAACCCTGAGAACCTGTGCGCGAGGTGCACCTGAGGGGAAACCTGGAGCACCCTGAACGCAGCAGCTCCTCCAACGGCTGCGGGAAGCCACCGCGCAGCGCGAGGAGCGAAGAAGCCCAGGACACCCTGACGAAAAGCACATGGTTTCTTGATGCGCGCCCCCACTGTACACACAGCGCTGCGCATGCCGTGCAGCTTGCCAGCGAACGCGCCCATCGGCACATGTCTCGACCATAGCATGACCCGTGCGGTCACGGGCATATGCGGCTCATCGAGACCATGCTCCTCGTCCATGCTAGAGGAGGAGGAGGCGGAGGAGGAGAGGAGGAGAGGAAGGAGGAGGAGGGGGAGGAAGAGGAGGAGGAGGAGGAGGAGGAGGAGGACCCTGCCAAACGCCCCGTGCGGTCACGGGCATATATGCGAGGGGGTGGCAAGTAGGATCCACGGTCTCGAGGGTTCGCGGGCCCCCCCCCAGATGGGATGGGTCCCAGGGCTCGCAGGCCCCCCCCCTGATGGGATGGAGGGACGACGACGACGACGACGACGACGACGACGACGGAAGACGACGACGACGACGACGACGACGACGACGACGACGAGACGACGACGGAAGACGACGACGACGACGACGACGACGACGACGACGACGACGACGACGATAACCACCACCAAGCCACGCTCACCAGGCTACGATCACATTGGGATGGGGACCCATCGCGCGCGGGGTGTGTGTGCGATCCCATAACAATCGGAGGGGGGTGGCCCGGAACCCAGGCTCATGCACGCCGCGCGAGCTTTCACACATTGCTTGGATTGAAGCGGATGGGTGGTCAAAAAAAAGGAAACCAGTTCGAGACGGGGATCGACTACAGAATTGGCTTACCTCAAAATGGAGTTGCTGGTCGAGTGTACGAAAAATACGTAGATCGCTCGCAGATCATTCCACGTATGTTTCGCAGATCCGACGAGATAGTTAAGTTTGGGGTGAATCAACTCTGTAGCCGATCCCCTACTCAAGGGGTTAGGGGGGGGTTAGGGGACGTGACGAGGGGGTACTGGAGGAGAGCGGATTGGCGTGAATAGGGAAGGGAGGCGGTCAGGGGAAGGGGAGGAAGTTGGCAGGAGTGGGGAGGAGGGCGAGGGAGGAGTGGGGGGGGAGGAGGGGGGAGGAGTGAGGAGGAGGGGTTAGGAGGGGGGGGAGGAGGCAGCCAGGGGAAGGGGAGGAAGCTGGCAGGAGTGGGGAGGAAGGGGGGGGAGGACCGTCGAAATCGGTAGTGGACTTGGGAAATTCAAGCTTCAACCTGACCTGGCCAACTGACGACCTGGGGCAGCAGCTGATCTGGGCAACTGTGACCACCTGCAACACCCAATGCGGCACCACGCCAGAATTCCAGCCCGACGTAGGCCACCCCGTCGATACGCGCGCCGTGTTCAATATCAATCCGATTGAAGCGACGACGGTGTTGTCACACATAGCTGAGGGCACCCGGCGAGATGACCGACGATGTGGCTGCATCCCATCGGCGAATCACGATCATGATTGCACGTCCGTGTGGCACCAACGGAGAGCGTACCAAAACTGCAACACCGCCAACTACGCTGAGCCCGGCACCCCCGTGTCGGACGCGAACATGCCCGGTTCGCAGGCAAGGCAGCCCGCCGTCGGATGGCAGTCCTTCGGACCGGCGCGGGGGGGGGCCGAGGCCCCCTGTTCACCGGCTTGCTCGCAGTGGTTGAGGGCCTGGCTGCTAGCAAGGCTTGGGCGCTAATTCGGCGGTGAACAAACCTCCCTTTAATAAACCTCCCCTCAGTGAAAACGGCCTGGGACCGAAACCGACGGACGCCCCCTCGCGAACCGAAAACGGCCAATTCCTGAATCGACGTGTCAGGGTAGGAGGTCTATCCACCTCCGAGTAATCAATTGGGGGCGATACATGGGGGTGGGGGGGGAAACGGTACCCTTCTCGGGCCCTGAAGGCCCCTTTTGGGCCCTAGAGGGTCCCTTGAGGGGCCCTGAAGGGCCCCGTTTCGGCAGCCCTCGCTGACCCCCACTTACAACCCAACCTATGCCAGAAGCGCACCCTCCAAAAACATGAGACCCTCCAGCGGCCAAAACATACAGAGCATCCAAGGGCACCCTCCGCAGGATGCACAAGAACATCCAGCAAACACGAAGAACAGTAGGATACCCTCCCCGAACCGACCTCTCTCTGATACCTCGGTCCGACTGCATCGCCCCCCCCTTGCGCACCCCCCGAGAGGCACAACAGCCAGGCGGGACCGGTCGACTGACAGGCTCGGGTCCCACCTTGCACGCCGCGCGCACTGCCTCGTTCTCACCTGCGGTTTCTCTTCTGCCCCTGCTTCTCCCCCTCACCACACCGTCATTGCGCCATCAAAGTCGTCGTCACCATTCTCATCACTATCATCGCCATGACCATCACCACAACCGATACATCATCACCGCCATCGCCACCACCACCGTAACCACTATGACGATGGCAATCACCATCACCATCATCGCCATCACCATCACCATCACCATGGCCATGGCCATGGCCTTCACCGTCACGGTCGTCCTCCTCCTCCCTCCTCCGCCTCCTCCGCCTCATCATCACTACCATCATCATCATCACCATCATCACCATCATCATCATCACCACCATCATCATCATCAGCAGCAGCATCAGCATCATCAGCATCAGCATCACCACCATCATCGTCATCGTCATCGTCATCGTCATCATCATCATCATCATCATCATCATCATCGTCACCATAAGCATCATCAGCACCATCAGCATCAACAACATCATCATCATCATCAACAACAACATCATCACCATCACAAGCATAAACTACAAATTCGCCGGCCCAACGGGCCAGAGGCGTGCTACGATCTCCGGTAACTGCTCAACAATATTTCTAGTTCGCGCGCGCGGGGCGGGCCCTGGGGGTCCCCGGACGAAAAATACCCCGGCAAGGTCCCGGCAAGCACTCCAGACGGTCCAAAGGTACCGGGAGACGCCGAAATATCACTCCCAAACGCCTACGATGGCCTCAACCTTGAGCATCCAACACACCAATATATTGCAAACGCCAATATATTTGCTCTTAGCGAAAACCCATGTTCGAATATATTCGCTCGCGGCGGGCGCCAATATATTGGTACGCTTTCCTATGTTGTGTTCGACATGATCCCTCATGGTTGCGCGATGTCACCCCTTGCTAGGGGAAGAGCTTCCTGCGACCCCTTCAAAGGGGCACTTCCTTTTCTTTTACCTTTTTTTCTGTAGCCACTTTTGCTCAAACGCGAGTGGCAGCAGGCATTGCGTTGAGATGGGGGGCGCTTCTAAGGAGAAACCGCGCGTCTACCGCACTTGCCAGCTCGGCGATGAGGCCATGGTTGACTTGGTGAAGCGGCGCGTGTCATTGATCGAGAAGAACTACATCAATGGCACAACGGAGCAGATCATCAAATATAACATGCCGTTCTTGTTGGATGCGTGCCAGGCGTCGCAGCGCTTGAGCTCCACAGCGCTCACGAAGGCCATCGTTTCGCAGAAGACGCACCTCGCGGCAGAGGAAGCGAAGCGTGCGTCAGCTACGTAGTGAACAAATTCAGGAGCGCCGTGGCCGCGGAGAAACTGGATCACTACACGAGGACCCTCGGAGAGGCGATGAACTTGGAGCGCGGTCGTACTTCTTCTGGCAAAAAGAAGGAGACGCCACGCAGTGACGTCGTCGAGAGCACCTCCGAGGACGACACTCGTGCCGACAGCTCGGCCCCAGCCGCGAGTGCACCACGCAGTCCAGACGCAAGGCACAAGCTGATCAAGGAGCTATATGGGATTTCTCCACCGCCCAAGGCGAAGACCAAGAAGGACGAAGTGCACAGCCCGCTCGTCGTTTTCTCAAGCCAGGGGGTGATGGAGTCACCTGCGCGCCCATCCGCTGCACCTGCCGCTTCTAGCTCTGCGAAGAAGGTCACTTTTCACCTCCTCTCCATCCCTTTCTGCGGCCTGCTAATTTCTCCTGCTGTGATCATCCTCTTCTATCCGTCCAACTCATCCGTCTTCTTTATCGCAGGTGACGTGGTGCGACTGGAACTCCGACCCGCCGTCCATGGTCGTTGCTGATGAGTCGGGCCAGGAGACGCGCATGCCGCTGTCAGCAGGCGAGATGGGTTTCTTGATCGCACGCGCGCCTGGTGGGGACAAGATCGAGACAGACCAGTCCAACGCCTTGCTCGTTGCCCATGCTGAGGGGCGGAAGAAGCGGGAGGCCCAAGAGAAGGAGGCGCTGACGAAACCTGACAAAAAAGCAATGAAGAAAAAATGCATGAAAGGAGCCAGGAAGCGCCCTGCTGCAGCGATGAAGGGACCTCCCAGGAAGCGCCCTGCCCGCGCGAAGGCTGCCAGCGAGGATTCGGGCGGAGAAGAAGGCGGCGGGCAGGAAGACGAAGAGGAGGATGGGGAGGAGGAGCAGCAGGGCGCGGGAGGCGGTGGCGACGACGAGGCGGAGGACGAGCTAGCCGACGAAGCAGTTGGAGGCGCTGCCGACGGGCGCGATTATCACTTTGACTGTACAAGAGGGACTACAGGGTGGGGGTCAAACTGCTGCGCGGGAAGAAGAATCAGCTATGCTCGTGCGGAGGCGCCGCTGCGAGGGGCAAGGTGTCGAAGGAGGAGCTGCTGGACATCGGCAGGCAGGTGTGCGAGCAGCTCAAGGAGGGCGCGACTGCTGAGACGAAGGCTGCTGCGCGGGGCGCTGCGGACGCTCTGATGGAGGAGCTGATCGATGGAATTATCCTCATCCTCCTCATCATCATCATCATCACGATCATCATCACCATCATCAGCACATATCGTCATCTTACGCAGCGCTTCCCCTCTGTCAGGGGCTCGCCATCTCATCTCTTCACGCTATTATATAATGTTTACATCCCCTCCACCAGGGTCGTCGCGAAACCCTTCTTAGGGGACGCGCCCCTTCATTCGGGGGAACCGCAGCAAGAGATTTCGATTGTTTATTCTCAGTGCAGCCGTTTGCGGCTCAAGGCGATCGAACCCGCGAGGCTCACGAGAAAGCTTTCTTTCGCGCAATGGCCACATCCGCTCTTGCGCTCGCGGCGCTCGCCGCGCGGCTCGCTTCGCAGGGGGCGGAGGCCGCGAGTCTTGGAAACAAATCAGGAGGTTCGGATGTCAGGGGCGAGATGGGGGTCAGGGGATTCAGAAACCAAGGTTTTCTATGAGGAACCTTCTCCCTCCAGGAACTCCTCGGGCAGAGCCAGAGAAGAGCGAGGGCGCGCGCCAACCCTCCCCCCCCCCCCCACCCCTCAGGCGATGATCGCTGCCGGCGGATCTGCTCCGGGAGGCAGCGGCGGCGACCAGTGGGGCGATCCTCCGCGGAAGCGTCATCTCGATGACGCGAAGGACGCTGGGTCGGAAGCAAAAGTTTACCCCTTGCTAGGGGGCGCCTCTTCAATAGGAGATTTTTTCGCCCCCCCCCCCCTTTCCTCCCCTAGGACGACGCGACCGCCGTCTCAGACGAGGAGGGGGAGGATGAGGCTGAGATGCTGAGGGATCTCAGGGAGAAGCGGTACACGAGGGCCCCAACAAGGCCGTTCTTGTGCACGGACAAGATCCAGCTGTGTAAGGCGTGCAACAAGCGCACGTGGGTCTTCACGTGCGCGTCGCGTTCCTGCCAGGAGCACCACGCCAACCGCCGGTGGACGGAGCGGGGCTTCATCTCCACGGGGGGTCGCCGCTATCGCGGCCGCAAGTCGGAGGCCGAGCGCGCCAGGTGGCCCCCATGGGAACCCATTGCGCTGCGCGCCCACTGGAAACCTAAGTTTGACAATGAACCTTTCTTGCCACCAGAGTTTGGTATGAAAAGCTTTTCGCAGTTTTGCAATCCGAGTTTCTGTTCTTGCAGGGTTATTCCTCCTCCTCCTCTTCCTCCTCCTCCTTCCCCTCTTTCTCCTCCTCTCCTTCCTTCTCCTCCTCTTCCTCCTCCCCCTTCTCTTCTCTTCCTCCTCCTCCTCCTCATCCTCCTCCCTCCCTCCCTCCCTCCCCCCTTCTCCCTCTTCGCATCCGTTTCCTTTTCTCCTCCTCTTCCGCCCCCTCCCTCCTCCCTCCTCCTTTCCCCTCCTTTCTCTTCCTCCTCCTCCTCGTCCTCCTCCTCCTCCCCTCCTCCCCTCTTCCTCCTCCACCGTCTCCTCCCCCTGCCCCCCCCTCCCCATTTCCCCCTCCCAGGTGGCAGCAGCAGAGGATGGACAGGAACGAGCAAGCTCTCGTGAACGCCGCCGAGGACGCGATGAGGATCAGGAAATAAAGCGCCCTTGCGCTAGGGGACGCCAAAACAGCCCTACGATAAGATCCCCCTTTGCTAGGGATGCAAACATCCCTACTTGCATTAATGGCCCCTCAGCTAGGGGCACATTGTTCGCAATCCCCAGGGCTTGGCCGAGGGGGCAGGAGGGGGCGCGGAAGCAGGAGCTGCAGGCGCGCATCCAGCGACGCAGCCTGCGACGCAGGAGAGGAGCAGGCGCGGGGGGACGAGGAAGCAGCCCGACGACGCGAGGAAGCAGCTCTTCAGCGACAAGAGGAAGAGAGGAAGGAAGCAGCCAGGCAGGCGGAAGAAAGGGAGATTCAAGCGAAAACCGACGAGAGGAA